GGGCCCATCCTCACCACCCATCCTCCACCCTGCAGGTCTGAGACCACCATGTTCCATGGCTCGCCGTTGCCTAAGGAGCCTGCTCTAAACTCCTCATGCCCAACCAGAGCCCTGCCTGTTTCTGAGCCCCCCAAACCCTGCAAGGCTCCAGCCCCCTGTCCTGCAGACACACACTCTGCCTGTGCTCTTCCTGCAGATCAAGTCTTTCCATTGCTTCTCTACGCATTCATTTCTGATTCATCCACTTAGATCTAAAACGCTCCGTCCTCCATGCAGCCTGCCCGCCCTGGTTGGAATCAGTGAGTCCTTGCCCTGTGCCTTCACGTCATGTCATTTCACCCTTTGTAGCTATGAGCTGAGTGAGGCAGGTCTCATGTCCCTGCTCCACGTGAAGCACAGAGAGATTCAGTGACTTTTCAAAGTCGCACAGCTCCTTGGAGCCTCATGTTAGTCCCATGCTTTTCTGAGACCCCAGACTTATCCTCCCCACATTTATATTGCTTAGAAAAGCTTTAGATTTTCTAGAAAATATGGTGTTGAATGGCAGTCCCCTGGTCTGGACTGGTTTTGCCCCAGAATGGTCAAATCTGTGAGACGAGGGATAGGGGGACTTCCTGCTCAGTCTTGCCTTGTGAAACCCCAGACCCTCTTCCTGGAACTTTCTAAGTAAACAAAGATGCCTTTACATGTGGGAATGGCTGTCGTCAGCCTCTTCCTAAGAATCTGCTCTGAGTCAGGCACACTATTTGGGGTCAGGGGCCTAAGCAGGGTGTCAGCCCACCCTCGGCCAGCTCCAAAAAGTTGCCCTTGACCTTCAGGTCTGTTTCCAGCAAATGCAGTGGGAGCTCCAGGAGGCTCACGCTGAGAGGCACACCTGCCTGGTTTCCACTTCTCAGAGCATCACTCTCTTGACTTACAAACAGAGCTGTGAGATGGTGGCGATACCTTGAGGCACCCTGTGGCGAGCTGAGCACTTTCTGCACAACCTCTTGCTTCATCCTCCCCATTGCGAGGAATGCCATGTCCCCTCACTACCCCCTTGGCAGACCTGGGCCCTGAGACAAGCACACCAGGTCCTGGGCCCAGGCCACACAGGGCCACATGCCTGTACCAGGGAAATCTAATTCCAGACCTGACACACGCCAGGTCACCATGCTCCTTCCCATGGTCCTACTGCTGTCCCCACTCTGGCCTTGCTCCCAGGGACTCAGCTTGGAGGGAGCACCTGGTTCCCTTCTGAGGAGAGGAGAGGGAGAGAAAGCTTTGTTCTGTTGCCCAGTGATGAGACTTGCCCTCAGCCACTAAAACCAAAGACCATGTATCATGGGTTTTGAAGCCACTCCTGACTGCCCCCAGTAAACCTGAAAATCAACTCCCATTCCTTAATGCTCCTGAGAATGGACAGGACCTCTGCCTCTGCAGCGGTCACAGCATTTAGGATGACACGTTGGCAGAGGAAGGGAACAGATGGCAAAGCCACAGCGGTCACCAGTTCAGTTTCTATCTTCCTAGGCTGTTGGATGAACCCTGGACCACAGTCTGGGATATGGGGACTGGGTGAGGTGGCATCTGACACCCATCACACTGGGCCATGGGTTTTGAGGGGATGGAGGTGGCTTCCCCAGATGTCAGAACCGACAGCTGCTGGGGCCGCTCAGCCCTGCCTGCTCTGAGCGTTTGTGGGTCTGCACGGTGCTGGCTGCGGCCTCGTCCGGCCTGTGAGCACGCTCCTCCTGGGAGAGGAGCAGAGGTCTTTAGTTGTGGGGCACATTGGGGGCACACAAGGGCCCTCCCTCGGGGAGACTTATGGGAGGTTACTGAGGTCATCATGCTTGGAAATCACTCACTGCTGAGGGTGCATCACGGGGTCTCTTCCACTCAGTGAATGTTTTACTGAGCACCTACTGTGTGTGTCCCAGCACTGGGCTGGCGATGGGCATGTAGCCGAGAAAAGCCCGTCCTGAAGAAAGTGTCTTTCTGTTGTCATAACATCCGCACCTGGGCCCTGCTGGCCCCACCGCCCAGCCCCCAGCCCGTCATCTCTCACCCCTGCTGTCCCAGTTGCCCTCTGTTGGTTAACACCGCCCCACCTGACTGGCTCCCTGCCTCCAGGAAATGTCCATTTTTAAACAAAATATTCGTCATCATAACCACACAACTCTCCCTGGATCATCTTGCTGTGGTGGTGGTGGGGGGACCTTAACTCGACCCTGCAGCCTGAATCACAAGTGTTGCAAGGGGCCATCAGCCCAAGAACATCGTCTGGGCCTTGTAGATACTGCCACCTGGCGGCCAGGACTGGGAGTGGCGGCGAGGACCAAGTTTAAATCTTTTGTGGCATGACGTGGAGGAATGGACCTGAGGCCTGGCACTGTGACATGTGGTGGTCAGGATCATTTAAGACATGGGCCCTGAAACAGCTCGCCAGCCTTGTTCACCTCAGAAATCCTCCCTGGGCTGAAAGGGTCTTCTAAGAAGTACATAAAATTCTATTTTTAATCTGATTCACCACATTGGGTGTCCATGCCCTAAGGGTTCACCAGAGACCACAATTGTAAAGCACACCCCTACCCTGCCCAAACTTCGAATGGTGTAACCAGGGCTGGGGGGGCCCCAGCAGGCACAGCTGATGGGGGAAGGCAGGGTAAGAGAAACTTGCGGGAGAGGGAGGGGTCCTTAGGTGCCACAGCAGAAGATCCAGCTCCCTCCATGCAGCTGAAGACCTCCGTGTACCTGGTCACCCAGGTCGACTCAGCAGCACATCTGGACAGTGTACACAAGGAGCCCTCCTCCGTGGGGCCTGTTCATTCAATCAGCAAGTACTTTCGGGGCCAGGGTCTTCTACCTGCTAGAACCTGGTGCTGGGGAGGGGTAGCTGGGGTGCCCATGCTGGTGGAGCTGGGTCCCCTTTTGCAGCCTGGGTCCCTGACATGCCAAAAGGAAACAAGTGTAGGTGACTTGGAAGCTGCTCCTGGCAAAGCCAGCCACTAGAGAAGCCACCTGGGGTTGGAGCAAAATAAATTTCCAGTGCCCAGAATCTGAGCTGCCAGAGCTCCCTGGGGCAGCTGGGAACCCATGATGACACAGGCAAGGACACCTCAGGTCCTGAGAGCACCATGGACCAAAAATGCAGGACAGAGAACCTGTGAGGGTGGCGAGTCCCAGGGGCAAGTCCACGCTGCAGCAGGGAGATGCTCCCAGGCCACAAAGGGGCCGTGTGGTCCATCCACAGTGGCCCACAGCTTCCAGGGCCCGGCTCCGGCCAGGCCCCCTCCCTGCCTTCTGAGAGAGCTCCAGGCACTCAAGAGGGTTCGCCTTATTCTGCAGCCCCCCGCCAACGCACGGCCTGACTGGCTGATTCTTTGTCCCTCAGCGTCTCTGTGGGCTCAGGGACAAGGGCTTGCTCAGGGGTCCAGTGTGGAAGCACTTCCACTGGTCTTAGAGACTGTTAGCTGGACTCCAGGTGTCAGGGTAACTGGTCCTGCTCTGACTCCATAGCTCTGAGCCTGTGGGGTCCCCATCACTGTCCTGGGACTCACCATGTGGTCAAGACTGTTAAGGCCCAAGGCTAGTGAAGCGCTCCTGGCCTGGGTGAGCTTCCATGCAGCCCTGCAGCCCTGCCCTTCACCCATCAGTCACTGGCATCCGCAATGCGCAGCTCCACGGTCCCGGCATTTGACGGTCTCACAACTCCACGCTTACATGGGAGGTCACTGCTGAGTCCCCTGCCGTGAATCTTACCCTGAGGATGTGACCTCAACTTACCCAGGTGGTACCCAAGTGAGGTCCCCGTTTATCAAATTGGCACCACGCACCCAGGTACACCGCTCATTCTCTGGAGCAGCCTTTTCTTAGCCTGTGTTGCACTGGAACCAGTTCATCGGAGGTCCGAGAGGTGAGCTGGTGCACAGTAGACATTTTGTCTCCTCCTCATGAGTCCCTATCCACCAGGGCAGGCCCCCTGCCTCCGAATGGGTACACGGCAGGGTGGTGACAGTGGACACACCGGAGAATTACAACCTGTGCAGCTCTGATGAGGGCCTTTTCTGTAGCATTGGTCTATGCACCCATTCAGACCTTTAAATAATTTTTAACTTTGGAAATGTGCATAAATTTGTGCCCACTACAAAATTTTCATCCACAGCCAAGATGGCACGTGGGCTTCCTGCTGCTCACTGTCCCCTCTGTTGCCCCAATCCCTTCTCATCCGTGACCCAGAGTGAGTTGCTTATGCCTCCCACAGCTGGTCTGCCGGCCCGTTTGTTGGTTTTCTCCAGGGCCAACAAGTGTGCCCCTCTGGCCATCTAAGCTTTCTCGTGCTCCCAGTTAGGTAGTGCTGTTCCCCAGGCCTTCTCCACTGCGAGGAACCCTGCCAGGCTTGTCAATAGTAACTGCTCTGGGATGCTCTTGTTCCAACTCCCAACACATCTGGAAACTCAGGCCACATCCCAGATGGAAAGACGACCCTATGGATTCCCAGGGAGTCTTGAAGCTACAGGTAAACAACGCCTTATGGTCTCTGGAATCACAGCCTGAATACATGGATGACTGCTGCCCCCTCGGTGGCTAAGATCTCCCCCGCCCCCAGGGTTGGGCTGCATCCTGTGGGGGCAGGGGAGCACTGGCAGGCCTCAGGGAGAGGCAGCCCAGCGACAAGGTGGAGGAGCGGCCAGGAGTTGGCTGCTGTACCTCTCCTAAGCAGAGGAGGAGCCGCGTGGCCATCTACCTTGGAAGGTGTCCCCCAATCAGAGGTGTGGGGTAAGAAAGATCTGGGGAGAGGGTGTTCTTGGTCCCAACTGCAGGTCGACTCTCTCAAGTGAGCAGGTTGGAGCGTCCTCGAGCAGATGGACTCACCTGTGAAACCCCTCCAGCTGACAGCACGGACATGGATCTTTCTGGAAGCTGAGAACAGACTCTCACGCTGCCCAGTTCCCAGGGAGGGCAGCCAACACCCCCACCCAGTCCCAGAAAGGAGACACAGCCTGCTGGTCACACCCAGCTGTTGTAGTGTAGCTTGGTTTTATTTATGTCCACAAATATTTCCAAAAAATTACAAAATACTCAAATGGAGAGAACACAGAAGTCACGATTTCTGGGTCTACTCTGTTCACACTGTGTTATCTCATGGCAAACTACTCATATATACATTTAGCTTCAAGATATATATAAATGGAGCAAATCAGAATGAACACTCTGCTCTGCTTCTGCCAAGGGAGACGTGACGCTCAACCTGGACGACACGGAACAAGACACGTACGAAACACGGAAAAGCAAAACCAAACTTGCAACGAAAGGAGGGAAAATCCAGAAGGAAACCAAGGGGCGGGCTTCGGAGACGCTGGGAAGGTCCGGGCCTCCCACGCTAGCGCTGACCAGGTGGGGCCTTCAGGTTGCGGGCTTTGAAATGAAGACTCAGTGCTTCACCTTGGCACGTGGGGGGAAACCAAAGCCTAACAGGAAAACACCTTCAGACAATTTTTAATACAGACCTCAAAGTACTTCACTCTCTCTCTTCTTTGGAAAAATGGATGATAGAGAGGAGATAAAGAAGGTTTAACTGAAAGGTAGGCACTGTGCTCTACCAGAAGGAAAACAAAAGGTGGGAGAGGAGGTGGGGGCGTCGGTGTGAGCAGCGGGAGCTGCACCTGTGCCGGCCCGTCCAGTCAGGCGTGCAGATGCCTAGGCAGAAGCGCAGAGTGCCCCACAGGAGTGCAGCCCCCATCCGCACATCACTGCCCCCAGAGGAGACAAATGCCCCTGCCAATGCAGCCAGCATGATGACAAAGGGTTCACTTGAGCTTGTCTCCCCTAAAAGGAGCTAAATTTAAGGCAGAAATGGAATGAAAGAAAACAAAAGAAAAAAAAACTACAAACATTTTCAACAGACAAAACAATCCTCTACCTGTCCCAACTGAAACTGAACGTGGTTTTAACAGAAACGGAAACGCCCTGATCAGGTTGGAACCGGAAACTGAATCTGAGCTAACACCTGTGGTTTCTGGGTCAAAGCGTTAGCCTCTCCTCCTACCCTACGTGGCTCAGGGCCTGGACACACTTCCCATCCACTGACCCACAGAAAGATCTCCTGTCGTCTGACAAGTCTTGGGTGTAGCCACCACATCCAATGGCATTAACAGCCCTCAAGAGTCTGAGAAGAGGCTGGAAAAGGTCACATCCTGGCAGAAAGCCTGATGGACGGGTGCAGACCCCGAGCCCCCCAGGATGGCACCTCCCAGGAGAAGCGTGCCCTCCCACTCCATGTTTGTGGCTGCGACTGCTGTTCCTACTTCAGGATGGTTTCAGCCCGACGTGAGTCACCACGCTCCTGGGGTAGACACACAGGCCACCGCCCACTACCTAGCTGACCCTGGGGTCTCCCCCACGGGAAAGCAGCCCCAGGCTGTCACAAGGATGGCCAGGCCTCCCCACCAGAGGGCCCAGTGGCGACTCCCACGGAAGCAGATTTCTAACAGATTCCTTTGGCAAGCGTACATGCTGTTATTTGTAGGGAATCATTTTCTTGAATTTTCTAGAATGTTTTGAGTATTAAGAAAGGCAGTTCATCCAAAACAATCAAATGTGTGTGCATAGAAATCTATAAGGAAACCTACAATCAGACACACGGAAACATGTGCTTTCTATCCCGCGGAGATGGAACGACGGTGGACCGTTAAGTCCTGGTGCAAACTGACAGAGGTTCGTTCGCCCTAACAGATGTCTGCACCGCTGGCAAAGCTCAAGCTAGGAACAGGCAGAAGTGAAAAATCAAAGCAGCAAAACAAAGAAACAGTTTGGAACACTGTCCCTGCAAACCCCTGGATGGTCACCGCTGTGACCAAACCTCGTCCCAAGCCTTTGCCTGTTTGTAATTAGTAACGCCCATCTGTTCCCTTTCATTAAAGGGATAATTATATATAACTTTTATTAAAAAATCAACTCTGTATTCTGTCAATAGCTGGTAGGAATTCACAATTAGTGACATGGCTGGAAAAAAATAGATCAGAATAGTCGTTTGTGGAAGGAAAAAAGGGCTGTTCTAAAATTATTTACAGACATAAAAAGCCATGCTGCAGAACTTTCTCAAATTATGAAGATTTCCTACAATGTATTAAAATAAAAGATTTTTTAAAAATTATAGCTCTTGGATTCCAAACTCAGATGCCGCCTATCTGCAAACCTTGTGGGTTCTGAAACACACGTGGCTGAGTGTGTCTGCACGCACAGTGAAGGGTGTGAGCTGGATTCTAGCACCTACTGAGAAGTCAAGGAAGAAAAAGAAAACAAAAACCGCACCCCAAGATTGCCAGGAAGTTTTCTGAATGTTCAGTCCAGTCCAGGGCTCGCTAAGTTTCTGGGGGACTGTCATGCACGGAGACCCAAACCAGTCTCAAGGAATCCTCTCTACAAACAAACACTATTATGCTGATACATTTTTAGTTGTGGGTTTTTAAATATATAAAGAAATCTTTAGAAGATATTCTTTTTGCTTTTGCAGCTCCTATTGTATGTAAAAAGTCCTGTTTCTCCCCCCAAGAATTGGGGTTTCCACAGCCAGCATTAACAAATAAATAACTTATAACTGCTTGTCACCTTCTTTCTTCAGTCGACTGGAAAGAGAAATAAAGGGAAGGAGAGTTAGCATCAGGCCTGGGCAGGTGGACGGCATCAGCTCAGGTCCAATGTCCCAGGCAGCTTCCCACACAGCTGACCCTGCCCTCACCTCCCTCCTACCAAGACAGCTCCTAGAGCAGGGCCCCACTCAGACCACAGGCAGGGCCTGATGGAGCAAAGCGGAGTGTGTGTGTGTGTGGTGCGGTGTGTGCGTGGTGTGTGCAGGGGGGATGTGTGTGGTGTGGTATGTGTGGATGGGGGTGTGCACACATGTGTGGGTGTGGGTGTGTGGTGTGTATGTGTGGTGTGGTGTGTGTGGGTGTGGGGGTGTGTGGGGGTGCACGTGTGTGTGGGTGTGTGGTGTGTATGTGTGGTGTGGTGTGTGTGTGGTGTGGTGTGTGCACGTGTGTATGTGGTGTGGTGTGTGTGTGCACATGTGTGTGTGGGGGTGTGTGTGTGCACGTGTGTGTGTGTGGTGTGTGTGTGTGGTGTGTGCAGGGTGTGTGTGTGTGGTGTGGTGTGGTGTGTGCGTGTACGTGTGTATGTGGTGTGTGCGTGCACGTGTGTGTATGGGGGTGTGGGTGTGCACGTGTGTGTGTGGTGTGTATGTGTGGTGTGTGCACATGTGTATGTGGTGTGTGCGTGCACGTGTGTGTATGGGGGTGTGGGTGTGCACGTGTGTGTGTGGTGTGTATGTGTGGTGTGTGCACATGTGTATGTGGTGTGTGCGTGCACGTGTGTGTATGGGGGTGTGGGTGTGCACGTGTGTGTGTGTGTGTGGTGTGGTGTGTGGGGGTGTGCACGTGTGTGTGGGTGTGTGGTGTGTGCACGTGTGTGTGTGTGGGTGTGTGGTGTGGTGTGGTGTGTGCGTGTACGTGTGTATGTGGTGTGTGCGTGCACGTGTGTGTATGGGGGTGTGGGTGTGCACGTGTGTGTGTATGGTGTGTGTGCGTGTGCGTGTGTGTGTGGGCACGCGCTGTGGGCGCAGTCTGGAGGGGTCAGCGGCCCACAGGTGGAGTAGGCGGGAGGCTGTGCTCAGCCAGCATGCACCTCCCGTCTCACCTGTAATAATCTTCCTGACTTGGTAGGTGGCCCCCATGCATGTGGGGGTGTCCATGCAGCCACTGCTGCTCCATGGCCAGTCTCTGCAGCTCGGCCGACTGGGCGTGCATGGCCTGCAGCTGGTGGGCCGCTGACATGGGGGGTGGGATGGCCCCAGGCAGATCTCGTGGGTAGGGGGTGCCTGCCAAACACAAAGCAGTCTCCTACAGAAAGGCCAGGGGGGTGGCCAGGACAAGGCCCAGGCCTGCAGGGAGGTCAGGAGAGAACCTCCCAGGGGAGGGCAAGAGGCTACTTACTCAGAGGACCTTCTGGGCAGCGTCACCCAGGAGAGACAGATGCCCTAAGTAGTGCCCCTCTTTCCCCTGTTGGGGGGGCGGAACTCCCCCCTCCTCCTCCTCAGGCTTTAGGCCTGTTTCTTCTTTAGAGAGGCTTACTCTCCTAAGCCCACAATTTGAATTTGGAGCTACCCCTCCACCCCCAGCTCCGAAGGCAGTGGTTTTCGGTCTTAGTCTCAAGGGGATTTCCGATGCACAGGAGGTATTTGTCGAATATGAATGAATGAGCGTGACATCAGACCAGGCCACTAACCCAGCTCACAATGGACCCCTCCCATCCCAGGTGCATTCTTACCAAAAACTGGGTGACGAAGCATCTCGTGTTCGTGGGGGGGCTGTCCAAGCAGAGGGTTGGGGAGAGTGCCAGGGGGATAGGGAAAACGAGCCAGGTGAGGGCCAGCGGTCAGAGGGTCAACCAGCGGGTGAACCGGGCCTGCTGAACCTAGAAAGGGGCAGAGATCCGGGTGCAGGTGGTGAAGGCTCTGGGGCTCCCAATGTTTGCCCTTCTTGGCTGGAACTGCTGGTGATTCCCCTCCTCCCCACAGCTGGCCATGGTCACCAGGGCCACCAATAACCTTGATCCTAAGTCACTACTCCCCCACCCCTTTTCCACACACCTGCAGTGGAGCTCCAGAAGATAAAAAAGGAGTGAAGGGCTGACTTATTTCCTCCTCCCACCGCTGGGCACCCCCAACAGGCAGTCTCCCGCACCCCACTCTGCTGGGGGCCCTGGGTCAGCAGAGTCCCCCTAACTGACTGCCCCAGGCCTGCCCTGCGCCTGTTAGGTCCACAGAAGCCCCACGGGCGCTCCAGTCCTGCCCCAGCCAGTGTTCCTCGCTCAGGCCGGCGGTTGGATTAGCGCCCCTCCCGGGGCTGCCTCCCTGGCGCTTCACACGCAGAACCCGAGGCCAGGCACGGGCTGTTGGCAGGGAGGAGGCCTGGCCGCACCATCAGCAGACCTCTCAGCTCTCCCTCAGGCGTGCCCTCTGCTGGCTCCCGTGAGGAAGCACGCTCACTCAGGCCCTCTGCCCGGAGATGCAGTCCTCAGGCCTGCAACGAGCCGCCCTTTCACCCCCTCAGTCTGCTTACAAGTCACCGTCCTGAGAGGCTTTCCCTCAGCCTCTTGAGGACAGCAGCATCGCCCCGGCCCCGTTTACTGCCTGACTCCCAGGTATGGAAGGTAAACGTGGACAGGGTGTTGCCAGCACCTGCAGCTGCGCCTGGCACATCGCACATCACAAGTGCTCAGTAAACTCTTGTCAAATGAATGAATGTTGTATGAATGAATGGCTGTCCTCTTATAGCACACTAAGGCACATCTGGTTACACCGGGGCTTAAAAGGCCCACACCAGGTGGCACAAGACTTTCAGGCGTGACAGCTCCTTGGCTTCCCTGGGACCATCTGCCAGGAAAGAGTCCAGGCTCCCTGTATCAGGGCTGGGGACACAGGTGGAAAGCCAGCTGCTGCCCTCCCTTCCTCTGGGCCCTGCTCTGCCAGCATGGAGGCCTGAGCACGAGGAAGTCCCCGGGTGGAGAGCGGGGCCAGACCCTCCTCCCACTTACCTACCTGGTCTGCAGAGCTTTGGAGGGAGTGGGGCTCCAGCTGTGCCCGACTCCCCCTCAGGCCAGCCAGCAGAAGCCAAAGCCTCATTCCCCAAGGGGGCAGGAAGCTTGCTCCTTGAAGTTCCTGCTCAGTGACAACCTACAGCCGCCCAGGGTGTCCTACGTGCCTCCACCGGCTCTGAAGGCCCCAAGGCCCTTGGTCCTGCCTCCTGGCCTAAACCTGCCCCAGGGAGCACAGGCCGCTGCCCTCCCACCCTGGCCCACCCCAGGCACAAGGCCAAGATCCCGTGCTTGACTGCAGCTCTGGAGAGCTGAGGGGCTGAGCAGAGGCAACAGCTGTCCATGTGTCAAGTGGCAACGCGGTTCCTCAGTGGTGCTGAATGTCCTAAGCTCTGCCAGGAACTAGAGCTGGATTAGAAAAGAGCCATCTCCGTCTCAGCCCGTACCCCCTCCACTCCAGGGCTCCCGCCTGGGCACTCACCTTGGTGGAGGGGGTCCTGCTGGTGGAGGTGGAGGTGTGAGTGGATGTGTGAGTGCTGATGATGGTGTGGGGTCACGTTGAACATCTGCAGTCGGGCCAGAGGGTCGCTGGTCAGTGAGGCCATGCGCTCGGCGTGGATCCGCTCAGCCGCCAGTCTATCAGGGTAGCTCATCTCAGGCCGCAGCTGGGGGCCCGCCAGGGCCAGTCTCTCCCTCTCCAAGGGGTTCAGGCCCGGGTGGAAAGAAGCGAAAGGGTGGGGGCCTGCAGTGGGGGGAATGGTGAGGGCGCTGTGCCGGGCGAAGTGCTCCATGGGGTTGGTGGCTGGGTGCAGGGGGTCCAGCTCCGGGGGCTTCACCTCGAAGCCCGGCTTCATCCTTTCCCGCAACTCACGCTCGCGGATCTCTCGCTCGCGGATCTCTCGCTCGCGGAGCTCCCGCTCCCGGATGGTGGGGTCGACGTTGTAGAGGCCGGGCATGTGGTAGGCCAGCAGCGGGTCAGTGGGGTTGAGGGGCATGTAGAAGGGGTGGTTGCGGTTGGTGGGCGACATGACGTGAGGCCGCGCGTACTCGCTCAGAGTCCGGAGAGCAGGCGTGTCGGGCCCGATGTACGGGGGCACAGCAGCGATGGTGGTCGGTGGTGGCTCAAAGGATGGCCGCATGTGGCCGGGACCACCGAGCTGGGGGTCGCTGAGGCGGCCTTCATGTGCTGAACTGGACGCCTTCTGCTGAAGAAAAGGGGGCGTGAGGGGTGGATGCCAGCTGCCCAGGGGTCTGAGAAGGAAGGTGAGCCCTGCCCTGCTGCCACCCTGCCAACTTGGTCCCTCCAGCCCAGCACCGAGCCCCATCTCCCAGCCACGGCCTGGGGCAAGGACATGGTCCAGACCGTGCCGCGACAGTCTCCTTGGTGCCCTAGATGGGTTCGTGTATCTGTGAGACAAAGAGCTGCATGGGAGAGAGTGTTTTGGTGGTGGGGTGGGGGAGGGCCTCCCCATCGCAGAGGCAGGTGGCGGGTGGCCCAGCACATAGGAGCGCCCCAGGGTGGGGCGGCCAGAGGGATCCAATGTGGCTGGGTAATGCCCCAGTGCCTGGCTCGTCTCCCCATTAGTTTCTCTTCAGTTCCTTCCAATAAGTGAAACACAAGCATACAGGCCTGCTGTGGATGAACCTGGACCTGCCAAGGGAGGGGTCGCATGGCGAGTGTCTGGGGAGGGGGAGGCCCAGGGCTGGCTCTGGGGGGCGCCAGGGTCACACCAGTTGCTCGGGGATGAACGGCACCCTCAGAGAAGCCTGGGGATGGGGTTCAATCCGAACCTGACCCTCCAGCTGCTGTGGAGACGAGCTGTGTGACAACTGTCACACAAAGGGCGGCCCCAGGGTCCCCGCCTGGCGTGGCCAGCAACCCTCCCGCACACGCGGGCGCCTGGCCCGCCGACACTCACGGCCGCTCGCTCCGCCTCCCGCTCCCGCTCGCGCTCGCGCTCCTTCTCCTTCTCCTTCTCCCGCTCCCGCTCCTCGCGCGCTTTCTGCTCGGCCTCCCGCTTGGCCTTCTCGATGGCTTCCTCCCTCTTCTTGGCCAGCTTGGACCCCGCCAGAGGCATGAAGTACAGGTCTGTCCGCGCACACGAGTTATAGCCCCGATCCAGGTGTTTGTAGAACCTGCAAGAGGCCACATCTCTCGCTGGGGCCCCTGCCGAGGCCGAGGCCTGCCCCGAGCCCCCCCAGGTCCCCGTGACCAGCACCTGGCTGACTGGCTGGCGTGGCTGGGGGTGTCCACCACAGTGGGCTCGGGGGACGGGCTCCGAGGCGGGGGTGGGGGGCTCTCCGGCTCCTCAGCATCGTCCAGAGCCTCTTCCTTGATCTGGACGGTGGGGAGCGGGCAGGCTGACCCCCCAGGTGCGCTGCCTCCCAAAGAAACAGCAGCAGAGCAGGGTGGCTGGGCCGATGGGCCGGGCCCCGCAGGTGGGGTGGAGGTGGAGGGGCAGGTTGGAGGGGTGATGGGAGGAGGGCCTCCAGGGACAAAGGGGTGCTGGGCAAATGGAGGCTGAGGGGGCACCTGGTGGAGTCCTGTGGGGGGGTGGGAGGCAGCGCCAGGGGCAAGGCTCTGGGTCAGCACAGGGGGCTGGGCAGGGGAGGAGGGCAGTGGCTGGCTCTGAGGCATGAGCTGCAGGGGTGGAGGGTGGGCTGAAGGGGGGTGGTGTGTGGACAGGGAACTCAGGGGCTTCAGGGCTGGAGGGGGTGGGAGGTTGGCGTTCATAGAGAAGGGCGAGGGCCCTGAGAGGTGAGGTGGGTGCTTGTGGGCCTGTGGCGCTGGCAGCTGGGGGATGGGCGTAGTGGGTGGGGGCTTGATGTGTGGCATGGCCAAGGGTGCAGGTGGCAGGGGCTGCTCTCGAGGGGGCTGCTGGGGCTGCAGTGCTGACTGAGAGGCTGGGGGCTGCAGAGAGGTATGAGGGTGAGCGGTGGCCTGGGAGGCCTGGGGAGGGAGGCCGAAGGGCTGAGGGGGGCCTGGGTGCTGCAGCAGAGACCCAGCCTGCAGGCTGTGAGGGCCGGGTGGGCCCTGGCTGTGCAGCGGGGGCTGGGAATGAGGCGGGGCGGAGGTCTGACCAGCCGGCCCGGTCAGAGGCTGCAGCGGGGGATGTGGGGAGGGCAGCCGCTGTGGGTGCAGGGCGGGTGCCTGCTGGATATGGGCATGAGGAGGAGCCGATGGAGCCTGGCCGGGGGGCTGGGAGGCTGATGGGGAGCCCTGCGGAGGGCCTGCAGTGGCCGAGGGGGTGGGCCCTGGTGTGGGAAGCTGGGGGGTTCCCGGTGGGGCCGAGGGAGCTGGAGTGGCCCCGCTGGAAGCCTGCAAGGCTGGGGGCTGGGCCTGGAGCATCTGCTGCTGGGCAGAGGAATCCGAGTCACTCTCGTTGTCCTGGGGGCTGGGGATGCTGGGGGACGTGCTGCGATTGTCCTGGTCGATGTCTTTGGGGTCACTGCTGCCCTCATCGTTGACACTGCGGCTGTCGGAACTCTCGCCCTCGCCTTCGGATGGCGAGTTGGGCCGACTGATCTCCTGGGGCCAGAGAAGGGAAGGCGGAAGCTCTAGGGGGGCAGGGCTCTCTCTGGCCTGGCACGTGCTGAGGAGGCAGCACGCTTGGCCCCAAGGACCAGGGGTCCTGCCCTGACCCGGCCAGTCTCAGGAGCCACTCTCGCCTCCTCCCTGGGAAAGCGGGCACTGCCACCCCCAGGGAGGATCGGCTGCCAGCTGCAGTCGACAAGGCACGGCGGCAAACCTCACCTGGGTTTTTGTCTTTTTGGAGCTGGTCCTGTCGGCCTCGTCTGTATCGGAGGCCACCTTCTCCCGCTGGCGCTTGGTGTTCTTCAGGGGCGATGAGGCTTCCTCCTTCACCTTCTGAGGTGGGAAAGGGCACGAGGGGGTCAGGCCAGGAAGGCATTCCCACCAGCCTCGGGGGCATGACGACTGGGGGCCGACTCCTGAGCTCAGCCGTGAAGTCACCCTGCTCCCGCATTCTGAGCTCTAGCTCCAGAAGCCAGAAAGCTCTGGAAGGGGCCAGCCAGAGCCAGAAGGAACACGTATCTGGGGATGGGAGTAACTTGCCTTGTGGGGAGAGAGCCTCTCAAATCACCGCCTACTCTCTGCCTCTGAGTCCTTGGAAGCCCCCCAAATTCAGTGGTCAGGGCTAAGCTGGAATCCCTTTCTCCAGGCCCCGGTCTGCAGCCGTTGGTCAGGAAGGCTCCACCAAGGACCTGTGGCCCCATGTCTGAGGGAGCTGGACACCAAGTCCAGCAGCCCCTGTACCAGTCCCAGCCCCTCACCTTGGCCGACTTCTTCACTGTCTCTGCTTTACTGTCATTGCTGGAGGTGCTGGCAGCGCTGGGCGAGTTACGGCCGCTGGAGCGGATGTCTTCATTGGTGGGTGAGGCGCGACCATCAGGGCTGGCTGGCTGCTTCTTCCGACCACTGCGCAGTGTAGACATCTGCTGGCCCAAACCGCAGGCCGGTGAGACTGGACCCCGGTCCCCACATGGGCCACTTGAGCCCAGCCCACACGCAGGAGCGTCAAGGGCAGACCCCACTGTGAGCTTCGCCGCAAATCCCAGCCCCTGGCAAACAAAAGGCACCCCTGGCTGCCCTTTACGGCACGGGGTCAATATGGAACAAAGGGAGGAGGGGTAAATGGTGGGTTCATAAGGAGAAGAGCTAGCGGGTCTCATGTAACCCCAAAGCACTTGTCTCCAGGGACTATGCCCAATGATGTGTGCTAGGAACGAGCAAGGCTTTCCGAGGGGCAGGAGTCAGTGAGGGAAGGCCACTCTGTCACGTTCTCCAGAATGACAATTACAGACAAAGTCAGCTTTAAGTCACCTCACCCTTTCTGTTTATTCCATGTAAATGCCCGCTCTCCCAACCCCACCAAAACAAAACAAACGCTGATTCATGTGACAGAATGGGGAGTGACCCAAAGACATGACCCAAATAATGTAATTCAGCTCCCGAAACCACCAAGCACTTCATCATGTTTCTGCAGCACGCTGGGGGCTCGGAAGAGATGGGGGTACAATGATTCACGTGGGCCCCCCCTGTGCCTCTCTGAGTGAGCAGTGGCCGGGTGGTCAGGGTGCTAGGGTCAGAGGAAGGCAGATGGTGTCACCCAACGGCCTAAACAGGCCATGGAGAGGCCAGCGCTACAGGAAAAGACCCTGGTCCATGGTTGGGGAAACCCTCACCCCTGATGTCCCTGCCACATTTCCAACCTGGAAACAAAGTCTGTTTACGGAGAGACTGCACAGTGAATAAAATATTGTGCCTCCAAGTTCCTAAAACCGGGATCAAATATTAAAAAAAACAGCCTGCAAGTTTCAATTAGCAGAGATATGCCACACTAGAGGTTATTGGCCCATGAGCCAGGGGAAGGTCTGAGGGACATGGAGAGCCTGCACAGAGGCAGAAACTGAGGCCTTCACACCCCGACTCCCCAAGGAAGAGGGAGGAGAGAACGGGGCAGAGAACCCTCTTCCCAGTCCCGCGGGCAAAGCCAGTGCCTGTGGGCAAACCATTTCACCTCCAGGGGTCTGTCTCTCTACCTAAAATGAAACGCTTCTCGCCCTCCTCCTGGTGGGCACAGCCCCCCAGCATCCTACCAGCCTGGAGATGTGCTCAGGGGTGCCTGAGGCTTGGGGGACTGGCCTGGGGACTCACCGAGCCTCGAGTCCGCCGTGTCCTCATGCTATGCTTCCCACTGAGCCCATCCTCCTCCTCTTTGACAGGTTTGAACATGAAGGGTGGGGGGTCCACGGGCTTCTCGATGGGGGGCAGCTCGCCGTACTTCTTGAAGTGGATCCGGCAGTCGGTGCAGAGAAGGATGCTCTCCCGGCCCCCGTGGTGCCAGTCTTTGGAGGCTGTGTGAGGCGAGGGCGGGGTGGGGTGGGGTGGCACCCTCAGAGCACAGGGGGCCCTTCTGTGGGCTCAACCAACCCTGTGCCGCAAGAGCCATGAGCTGTGGGCTCGGACAGATGGCTCAGGTCTTGGTGCTGCCTGCTCTCTCCCAGGGCAAGGGAGGGTTTCAGGACTATTTATGCCCCCACCTCATCTTGGGGTACCCAGGAGGCGATGGCAGCAGGCTCTCTGGAAACACAGGTGCCCCCAGCCCAACCTTGAGTGAGTCTGTCCCACCCACTGGTCAGCACTCTGTGCTGACTGCTAAACAGGGCAATGAAATAAAATTAAGCTTCAACTTTCTCAAGTAACCTGAAGCACAACACAAATGCTAAACCCATCAGTGCCCGGAGGCCCCCGCTCCAGGAATGTGCCCCACTTACTGGTGGTGAAGCAGTGGCGGCAGGCGTATCCCTTCAGCTCCTGCTCGCTGTCCTCACTGTCAAAGTCATCCTCGCTGGCGGAGCTCAGGTCCACTGGCATGGTGAGCACACAATGGGGGTAGAGGGAGACTGTCACGCTCGGCAAAGACCGGGACCACTTGTGACTTCTGGCTGCCTCAGGCTCAGAGACACCAGTCAGAGTGGCCAGGGGGCTGAGCTGCGACTGACTTCCTCAGGGCCAATCACCAGGAGGAAGAACTTATGTGTGAGAGGCGGTACCAAGGGCGTGCCCTGCCAGACTTGGGGGCTGATGTCACACCAGGATCCTGGGGGGCAGGCACAGCCGCAACTGGTGAGACTGAACAGGGTGAAGCAGCATCCACGAGGCCCTCCTGAAGGAGGTGCCTCTCCGTCAAGTGCCGCCCCCACCAGATTACTAGATTACTTTCTGTTTGCATGTGCAACTGAAGTGGCCCCTGGAGGTCCCGCCCTGGGCCAGGACAGAGCCAGAAGGCACTGCTGCTGCACGCTAGTGATTAGGGATCAACAAGCTAGGGGCTTCAGTGTCAGACTGCACGTCATACTGGGACCAACAGGAGGGTCTCGGTACAGGAGGCAGCAGGGAAAAATGTTAATCTGATCTTGCTGCTACCACAGCGCAATCAAAATGCCAACAGTATGTCAGCCACTGCATGGAAAACCTCCTCTGAAGTTATCAAAGAAGCTCAGGCCAAGGCCGAGACTTACATTTTGGTAAAAAACAGAAATGATATTGAGTTTATTAGAAAAACTGCAATGTACGAGTAGCGTATAACCCTACCAAATCCCCCATGTCGGTGCTTTGTGCGTGAACATGGTTCCCTGGGTCGTCAGCTCCTGCCTGTACTGTGACAAGGACATCTTGTGAGTCCTTGTGAGTGCAGACCCAGAGCTGGGACAGTGTGGGCTGAGTGTGAAAGTCCCCCACTTACAGAATTCACTGGAGGGGGGTCTGGAAGGCGTGTTGACGGGCGTAGATGCTGTGCGGGTCTTGATCCTCCGGAACACGGCCTGCCTGCGGTGCCTGCGGTGGGCCCGGGAGCTGGCGGCTTCAGGGGTTTTCTTCCAATAGTAATAGAAGGTGATCAGTTCCCCCTGTAAGAAAGAAGGGCCAGCTGTAAGGGAAGTGCCCAGAGGGGCTGGCTTTTCCAGGTCCCCCAGCACGCTGGGTTTGTAACAGCTGTGCTAGAGACCAGGACAAAGCACTCTCCGCTCCTGGAGTTGCCTGGGGCTTGCCTGAAACACAGCTGCTGAGCTTCCTGAAAGCTGGGTTAAGAGGGGCTATCGCCCCAGCCCAGCTAACTTCTAGACATCAAGAACACCCGTTCATTTAACAAGTATGTGTTCGGTGCCAAGATATGCCAGATACCACCATGGTTCTAAGCACAGAAGGTGCATCAATAAGCAGTGGACGGCAAGTCCTGGCCCTCTAGGTGGGGGTGGGTGGGAGTGTGTGTGTGTGTGTGTGTGCGCGCGCGCATGCACAGAGGGTGCGTGTGCATGCACAGGGTGTATGTGTATGTGTGTGCGCGCGCACATGCACAGAGGGTGCGTGTGCATGCACAGGCACAGAGGGTGTGTCTTTCACCAGCATTCCAGTGCAATCCCAGGGAGGTGATAAGGAAATGCCTCGCCAGCCAGGCGACTCCAGAGACAACCAAGATACAACTGAGGTGCTGGGGAGTGAGGGCCGGGTGGGGGTCAGGAAGGACGGGAACCTCAAACCCAGAAAAACTCTCTACAGCCTCCACCCCAAACCATGTCCGGGCCCGGACAAGCTGGTACAAAGTCCTAAAGGCAACGACTGGGGCTTGATAAAGAAAGGCTAAGAGGGGACACACACAGTGGTGCTCATGCACAGACGAAATGCCACACGTCACAGGTCAGTCTTTACGGCAAAAGGAGCTACTCTTCTCATGGCCCAGCAGAAAGAGAGCCAAGAAATCTTTTTAGAAACTACAGGAAGAGGACATGAGCCCAAACATAACTTTAAAAATAGGGGACTTCTGGCACCCCTACTCCAGGGACAGCAGGCACACCATACACACAAATGGTTGACTGGCATGTTCAGCTAACCCTGGGTGACAAAAGACAGATTTCTTATTTCTTTCTTTTAACATTTTTGTTACTCTTTTTCAATTATAATTGACATTCAATATTTTATTAGTTTCAGGTAGATGGCATAGTGGTTAGACATTTATATGATTTATGACGTGATCCCCCAATTACTATAGTACCCACCTGGCATTCCACAGTTATTACGATATTGACTATATTCCCTGTACTCTACACCCCCATGGCTATTTTGTAACTGCCAATTTGTACTTCTTAATCCCTCCCCCTTTCTCACCCTGCCCCTGAACCTCCCCTCCCATTTAGGAACCATCAGTCTGTTCTCTGTATCTATGAGTCCATTTCTGTGTTTTATTTTGTTCTTGAGATTCCACATATAAGTGAGATCATATGGTATTTGTCTTTCTCAGTCTGACTTATTTCACGCAGCATAATACCCTCTAGGTCTATCCATGTTACAAATGGTAAGATTTCCTTCATTTTTATGGCCGAGTAATATTCCACTGTGTATATGTACTACCTCTCTTTATCTAATCATCTATTGATGGGCATTTCGGTTGCTTCCATATCTTGGCTATTGTGAATAGTGCTGCAGTAAACATATGGGCGCATATATCTTTCCAAATTAGTGTTTTGGATTTCTTTGGATAAATACCCAGAAGTGGAATTGCTGGGTTATAAGGTAGAGCTCTATTTTTAATTTTTTTGAGTAACCTCCATACTATTTTCTATAGTGGCTGCATCAATTTGCAATTCCACCTACAGTGCACGAGGGTTCCCTTTTCTCCACATCCTCGCCAACTCTTGTTATTTGTTGATTTATTGATGATAGCCATTCTGACAAGTGTGAGATGATATCTCATTGTGGTTTTTATTTGCATTTCTCTGATGATTAGTGATGTTGAGCATCTTTTCATATGTCTGTTGGCCATCTGTGTGTCCTCTTTGGAGAAATGTCTGTTCTGGTCCTCTGTCCATTTTTTAATTGGATTGTTTGGTTTTTTGGTGTTGAGTTGTATGAGTTCTTTATAAAGTTTGGATATTAACCCCTTATCATATGTACCACTGACAACTATCTTCTCGCATTCAGTAGGATGTCTTTTTGTTTTGTTGATGGTTTCCTTTCTTTTTGTTTCCAAAAACGTTTTGGTTTGATGTAGTCCCATTTATTTTTTCTTTTACTTCCCTCGACGGAGATATATCATAAATAATATTACTAAGGGTAATGTCTGAGAGTTTACTGCCTATGTTTTCTTCTAGGAATTGCATGGTTTTGGGTCTTACCTCTAAGTCTTTAATCCATTTTGAGTTTATTCTTGTATATGGAGTAACAAGGTGGTCTGGTTTCATTTTTTTGCATGTATCTGCCCAGTTTTCCCAGCACCATTTATTGGAAAAGACGTCTTTACCCCACTGTAAATTCTTGCCTCCTTTGTCGTAGATTAAATGAACATATAGGCGTGGGTTTCTTTCTGAGCTCTCTATTCTGTTCCACTGGTCAATTTGAAAAGACCGATTTCTTAAAATAAACATCCTAAGATTAAGTATTTTTACATTTTAAATAAGCACTTAAAACAGTGAGAGAGCCTAGATCACACTGATCTTCTCGAATTCAATAAATATTGCGGAGAGTCAATTAACTTGGCAGACAACCACATCCCGGGAAGTTGCCCTGGGGGAACCGGCATCCCAGGCTGGGAGCTACTTGGCCAGGGCACCACTCTGCCTCACGGAAGGCTCCCTGCCTCATGAATGGAGGAGCCAAAGAAAGAGACCTGAGATCTAGCTGGAAATACTAGTGCTGGGGAGACTGAAATAGACAAAGAAGTGCAGATACCACACAACAAATTTTAGGCCTGATAGAGTACCCAGTCAGATGAGGTTTCATTAAAATCACTCCAGAAGCCATGGCCTTGACATACGGTGACAAGTTGGTCGAGAAGTGGGCAGATTTGGGTGGGAAATGGCTTCTGCAAAGCAGGTAAGGCACGTGTGCCGAGTACTCACTACTTGGAGCAGGAGTCTATATGCATTTTCTGAGGACACAGCTGTCATTAGATCCTAAAAGTAGGGCTGTGATTCAAGAGGACTTCTGATTGGCTTGACTAGCACAGAACATGTACCTCTGGGAGCTGTGGCTGTGCTTCAGTCTTTCCAAGCACCGCTTAACAAAATGCTAGTGATGGCCAATATTTAACAGATGAAGCCCGACCCCAGGCCAAGGAGACCAGGAGCCAGCACAGTCCCCTCCACACGCCCACCTCGACCCCTCTTCAGTTCCCTGAGACTGTAACTGAACACTAGGGACAATGGAGGTACTGCCCTTGACTTTCTGATTTGTTTGCCTACCATGTTATTCTACAAATGTAGGCTGTAATTGTCCTTGCGGTGACCCAAGCATCCTGAGCCCCTAAGGCCAAGATCAGAGAACCTCCTGGCCCCTGCCTTTACTTCCTACCTTCCTGACTTGGAATGTCATGTATCTACACTGTCATTTATCTATACTTGGCGGGCTGGAGGGAACAAACTCATTAACCCATAGAGGTTAAGAGACATGCACTGGCATGAAACTGACCTGGCTCTGGTTTTCCTATGAGAAAACACAGAACAGAAGCCAAGGCAGGTCACTGTCACCCCTCACATATTGTATCAGGGCGGTGTGCTTCATCAGTTGAAAACGGCAACTGGTGCAGGAAATCAGAGCCCAGTCCCAAAGCTGGAAGGAAGAATGACAAAGCTCAAGTGGTTCCTCCCACCTCCTCCTTTAGGGGAAGTTGTTTTAGGGCCAGCGGATGATAGAGGCCTGGAATACAGGGAAATGTGATGCTATAGGAGATGGAAGGAAACAAAAATGAGAGGGAAAATCGGGTGGGAAGGTGCTCCCAGGGTCTCTGTCAAATCTCAGCCTTACTGAAGGCTGTTAAAAAGTAGCCCCTGACACTTCTACATTAGAGTAGCATTGGTCTGGAATGCAATATTGCCTCATACGGTTACCAGGGATTATTTCTGTTTCTCAGATATGAATGTTTTGCAAGAATTTCAAATGGTTTTAAGAAATGGCACAACTTGCGGATTAAAACAGAGGAAGCCAGAGTTCAGCGAGGCTATGAGACTGGCCCAATGCCAGACACCAGACAGAAAAAAGGCTCAGGAAAAGCCCAAGTTCACAACACTAAACCTTTACTCCTGCACCGTGTTCTCCTCTGGTATGTGAGAAAATCAGGACACAAAAAAGAAGGCTAATGTTGAAATAAACATCAACTTTCTGTCAACTGTTCAAGTAACAGCTTTTAAACAGGAATAAGGACAGGAAGAGATTCCATTATCTGAGTGCTAAGGATCGAAATGACCAAGTCAGAAGGACACTCCTCTGGAAGTCTAAAATTAGTTGATAAGGAAATGAAAGAATATAAATTTTAAAATTCAGGAAGATGGAGGAGTGACTAGAACTCTTACACCCTGGAAATGTAAAACAAGCAAACCACTTTGTAAAGCTGTTTGGCAGTTCTTACAAAGCTAAACAAATATTTGCCGCGTGGCCTAGAAATTATTCCATTCCTAGGTGTTTACCCTGAAGAAATAAAACCGTGATCATACAAAGACTTTTTACACAAAGGTTCACAGCAACTTTAGCCCAAAACTGGAAACAATCCGAATGCACCTCAAAGGAACGGATAAACATATTCGATACAACCATTCACTGGAATACTACTTGGCAGTGAAAAGGGAACAAATTATTGGTGCAGGCAAAACTATGGATGAATCTGAAAAACATGTTGCATGAAAGCAGCCAGGCACAAAAAGGTACATATGGTATGATTCCATTCTAGAAAAGTCAAACCTATAATCACAAAAAGGAAATTAGTTGTTGCCTGGAGTCTAGAGACAACTGCTTATAAAAAGACACAAGGAAACCTTCTGGGGTGATGGGAATATCCTATAACTAACTGTGGTATTTACATGGATTTGTCAAAACCCATGGAACTATGCACTTAAAGTGGGCACATTTTTATGGTATATAT